CCCCACCGCTGCCAGCCCCGGCGGGAGGCTGAACACCAACAACTAACTGCCTGCCTGCTGCACGGGCCCAGGACCCTCCACTCGTCCTCGTGGGGCGGGGCGGGGGGGAGCAACACCTCCAGGGTTGGCTGGACACGCTCTGCTCGGGGCCTCTGACCCTGGGGGCTGTGCGGGCTGGCAGCCCCCGGAGCTGGCAGAGGACACCTCACTCCCAAGTGCCCCCTTTCAGCGGCTCCTTGAAGCCTTTACTTTTTGTCTGTTTGTTTTCTGGAAGTGAAGGAAAGCGAAAAGAGAGGAAACTCTTGACAGCATCCCCCTCCAGGTGAGGGGGGCGCTGGAGGCAGCAGGTACGGGTGGGGAGGGACCTGGGGAGCAGGTGTGACTGGTTGCTCCGCTGAGGCCTCAGCCAGAGGGTGGTGGCCAGGCCCAGCCCAGGTCACCTTCAGCTGCTCATCCCCGCCCATCCTGGGCCCCCTCACTCGCCCCTCATCCCAGAGGGTTTGGGGAAAAGTTGGGGTGCCATCCCCCTTTGGAGGACTTGTGGGCCCACTGTGAGGGCTGCGGATGCTGAGGCAGGGACTTGGGCCCGGACGCCAGGGGTTGTGTGGGGTGGGCGTGCGTGGCGAGATGCGACGACTGCAGCTGCGCACCGTGGGGAGGGGGGCGGGCGGGGGCTGGACCCCAGGCATTTGCTTTCCCCACGGCATCCCCGACCTGCCCCCGGCTGCACCAAGGGCCCTGAGTCCTGGGGAAGATGTCCCCAGGAGCTGCCGGGCCTCAGGGTGTGGTGGGCCAGGCCCTGGGTGGGCGGACGGGCTGGCTCCCACAGCACCAGCCCCGAGGCACTGCAGCCCAGGAGCCCCTGCACATGGGTGGACCCCAGGGACCAGGGCCCTAAGGAGCAGGCCCGGGCAGATGTTCTGAGGTTTCAAGGTGCTATCAGTGGGGCAGGGGGCAGGGCAGCTGTTCACGGAGCAGCCCACCCCTCACCAGCTGCCCCAGCCGAATCTCCCACGCTAGAGACGTCTGCGTCTGTGTCTGTCTCTGCTCCTGGAAGGCAGCACAGGCCTCAGCCACTCCCTGGGCCTGGCCACAGCCTGCCCCTGGCTGGTGTCCAGCGGCCTCGTCCCTCCTGCGCCTCTGTGCTCATGGGTGGAGCGAGGAGCCTGCATGATCAGGCCCTGGGGGTCGGGGTCGGGGGTACCGGGAGAGCCCCACCCAGCCTGTGCCCAACGCTTGCCCTCGCGAGGCCAGCACTAATAGGACATCCTTTTTTGTTGGCATTTAACGTCTCCGTTCCTGCCTTTGAAATGGGGAGGAAGGTTCCATAAGCTACCTGTTTCCTAGTTAAGCTCTTTCCTATTGTGTTTATACAGTTTTGTCTGTTATACTCTTTGCACCTTAAACCCCTCGACTGCCCCCGCGTCACCACCTTCCCAGCATGGCTGGAGTGGGAAGAGGCCTGAGCCCAGGGGGCGGGTTGGGGGGGGGGGGCTGGCCCCATCAGCCCAAGGGCTGAGGGGGTCAGGACCCCTCTGACTTCCTTGTAAGGCCCATGGCACTGGGGCAGGGGGCTGGGGACATTTTAATCATCAATAAACGAAGCACTTTATTATGTACAGATGTGGGCAAGCCCAAGGAGCCCGAGTGATTTGAGGATTTAGAATCCAAGCCACACAGCCCAGATGGTTCTCTGGGCTTAGAGGGGGCAGTGCCCTGGCCCGGTTGAGTTTCGGGCTGTAGCAGGAACAGTGCCAGCCAGAGTCTATGTACGCACCCTCAGACGCCCCTGCTGTCCTCTGGGGAGAAAAAGCGGTCCCCTCCGTGAGAGGGGAAAGCTCCCTGTCTGGCTCCCAGTACTGAGGCTCCCCCCACGCCAAGGCTGGGAATTCCAGCCTCTTATGGGGTCAGCGCTGTGTCTCTCAGGCTCCTGCTTTACTGTAGCTCTTTTCCTCTCCTGCACCCTGTGATCTCTGGGCTTCCATGACATCCTCAGGGTCCTCCCCTCCCTGCTTCCCCCTTCCCTTTGCTATTTCTAACCTCAGGTCCCAGTGCCTGGCAGCTTCAGAGCTGGCCCACATTTTCCTAAGAAAAGTCTGATCTCCCCGAATGGGCTGTAGGCTGGGACTCCAATGAGTTTTCCACCCCCTGTTGCTGACGCCGGGGTCTCCCATAGGGGCTGGCGGCCCTGTCACCTGCTACCCTCCCTGCAGCCTTAGTGAGCCTAGGGGACCCTGGCCAGGCTGGGCCTCTGGTCCATGAGGCCAGACTTTGACAAGCAGAGGCTGGAGATGGGTGTGGGGAGCTGGTAGCAAGACCCTGTCCCAGGACTTGGGTCTCCTGTTCTTGTACACTTCCCCTCTCAGGGCACAAGAGGGGTCCAGACAGCAGGCTGGGCACTGGTCAAATGGTCATTGTAGCTGTAGGTGGGCACGGCCAACCCCTCTCCTGGGAGACCCCTACCCCAGCGGGGACAGGAACCCTGTGTCCCTGGTGCTAAATGCTCTCTCCCCCTTGGGCCAGTGTTGGTGGGAGCTCCTTTCTGGCCAGACCACAAGGGTCTGAAGCAATAATCGTACCTCAGCAGTGCCAGTATGGATAGGGGTTCTTGTTTTACCAGCTTTTACATTTCCTTTTTCATTGTTAAAACAAATTAACAAGCACCTGGGTATTGGAGTGAGGGGACTGGGCATCATACCCGCTTCCCAGGGCTGGTGGTGGGGAGGGGGCTTGGGATCATCACCTCCCACTGGAGATCTGCCAGGGCGTCCCTCTGTCCAGCTGGACTTCTCAGCCCATTTGGCCAAGACCTCAAGCCCAGAACCTGGGCCTGCCCTCTCCCCGGCTCCCCTTGTACTCCCCGGCCCTGGGCCAGCTGGAGGTGAGTGGCCAGAGAGATGAGGTGGGCCTCAAGCCCTAGGAACCCAGGCCGGGGGCAGAACCTGAGCCTCCGATCCTGAGGCGTTCCACCACGGCCAACGTAGCACCCCTCGGGTGGCTCGGTGGCAGAACGGCTGTGCCCAGGCATGTGGACCCTTGATGTCTGGCCCTATGTGGCCACCCCACAGCCCCAGAGCGTGCGGGCGACAGCAGGAGGGTGAGGACAGTGAAGGGGAATAAAGGCAGTACAACTGTCCCTTGGCCCAGCCTCTTCTTTACACGTTGCCGCCCTGACTACTGGCCGAAGAGACTTGGACCAGAGCAAGGGTAGCGCGGAACCTGACAGCTTGGCCGAAGACCACGTGGACACCCGTGCCCCGAGCATCTGCACACCCCGTCTCCCTCCCTTGAGGGTGGGCTGGACTCCTGGGGAGCATCCAGAGTCGGGAGCTGAGGTCTGAAGGAGCCAGATGTCAGCACCCGGGAGGACATCGCAGATGGAAGACAGGTAGCGGACTCCGAGGAGGGGGCAGGCGGCTCTCCCTGCGGACCTCCAAGAATTATTTCACTGGAGCGCTGGCTCTGTGCGGGATAGGACTCTAGGCTGTGGTGACACGCGGTGACTGAGGCCCCCATGTATGTGGCACTTGGTCCCAGATACCTGGAGAGGGGGGTAACCGGGAAGGGCTAGGGGAGGAGGCTGGTGGGTGGGTTCACTAACCAGCCAGAGAGGGGGTACACATCCCCAGGATGGGGACGTTGCCTTCCACACAGTCCCACTTCTCTGAAGGGAACAGGGGCTCGCTCAAGTCACCCTAAAACTGAAGCTTGCTGTCAGGCCTGCGGGCCTGGCTGCTCCTGCAGTGTCTTGTGGGGATTCAGCTTCTCTCTGTTTCCCCTCTATTACCCGTCCATCGGTGGTCTGTCTGCTGCCTCTCCCCATGGCCTCCTCCCTTCGACCCCACCGTGCTGTGAGCAACGGCCTGAGGCCACAGGCATTATTTTCTATAGAATCCCTGGGAAAATATCTATTTTTTAAAATTACAGTTTTACCTGGGCATAGTTGAAGAAGCCAAATATTGATATTCTAGAACTTTCGTTTTTTAACAAAAACCTACAGTGCCCCTGCACCTGCCCCTCTCCAACTCCCGGTAGGCGAGCAGCTCCAATTCAGTTGGTATTTTGGGTGTTCTCATGCCCACAAAAAGCACACCTCCAACGCTACTTTCCTGATTTTTTTCACTTTTAGGCATCAGCTACTGATGTATTTCTTCATCACTCCCATGACACGCACAAACACTATGCACACAAGTTCCCTTCCTCCTTCCTCCCAGCATGGTTATATTATTATTTGGGGTTAGAGTAATATCTAGTGGGTACATTATTATGACTGTGTAAACACTGATCACAACCAAGCCATATAATAGAATACGATTCCATTTCCTTTCTTGCACAACGTTTTACTTTTGTCTCTCTTAAGCGTGATTTGCTTCGGTCTCTATGTCCTTATCACTGCTGCGTTCCCAAACCCTTTGCTATAAATTCAGTTTTCCTTCCAATATGTGCAAACACGGCGGGTGTTCCATCGATTTCATCACTCTTGTAACCAGGGAGCCGTGCAGCAAGATAACCCTGCACGGGGTGCACACACTGCAACCAGCTCCCATGAGAAGACTTGAGAAACTGCCTAACAACATCCCCCAGCCAGTGGTTCCCTGTCCCACTTTGCCGAGACTGTATCCCTTTCAGTTCATTGCAGAGATCTTTAACTTCTAGAAGGTTTATGTCTTGGTGGGCTCCTTTTTCCTAACCCTAAACTTTCCCTTCTCCTCAGGACCACTTCAGGGGATTAAATTCCAAAGAGCTTGACTCACTCTTTCACCCTGACACAGGAATGAGTTTGCCTGGGTCTAGAATTCAGGCTGGAAATCATTGCCCTCAGAATTTTAGATGCTGGCGCGTTTCTGCTGAGAAGCCCAGCGCCGTACCGTTTAAAAGGGTGAAGTGAGATGACAGTTTCCTTTGATTCAACTACAAGCCCTGGAGTCCTGCTTCCTCCCTCCCACATCCGATCCCTGGGCATGTCCTTGTGTGAGATGTCTCAGTGACA